TTTCCACACCTGATATCTGTCCGTCTTGTACTGACTTTATGGTAGTCAGGGTGGCTTTAGACTATTGTTAGCAGATTGTTCTCCACACCTGGTATCTGTCTGTCTTGTACTGACTTTATGGTAGTCAGGGTGGCTTTAGACTATTGTTAGCAGATTGTTCTCCACACCTGGTATCTGTCTGTCTTGTACTGACTTTATGGTAGTCAGGGTGGCTTTAGACTATTGTTAGCAGATTGTTTTCCACACCTGATATCTGTCCGTCTTGTACTGACTTTATGGTAGTCAGGGTGGCTTTACACTATTGTTAACAGATTGTTCTCCACACCTGGTATCTGTCTTGTACTGACTTTATGGTAGTCAGGGTGGCTTTACACTATTGTTAACAGATTGTTCTCCACACCTGGTATCTGTCCGTCTTGTACTGGCTTTATGGTAGTCAGGGAAAACAATCTGTTAACAATAGTGTAAAGCCGCCACACCTGGTATCTGTCCGTCTTGTACTGACTTTATGGTAGTCAGGGTGGCTTTACACTATTGTTAACAGATTGTTCTCCACACCTGGTATCTGACCCTGACTACCATAAAGTCAGTACAAGAATAAACAGGTTTAGCTAACAACAGTAACAACAAATGTTCTATGTGGGCCAGCAGTAGGTTTACAGGCGTACAACGCTAAACAGGTTTAGCTAACAACAGTAACAACAAATGTTCTATGTGAATTCGATAACATCAAAGAAGGTTATGTAACAAATAAAAATAGTACAAGATTAGGCTTGCCACTAAGATCGGGTGGGTAGTTGAAGCGACTAATTAAGTGTCCTGGGCACACACGTAGATATAATGTCCATAGAACCCTAAAACCTGACAAGAAAGAAAAAACGCCGTTGTACGAGACTGCAGGCATAAGATGAAACTTACTGGTTTAATGTACGTCAACAAGATTTAAAACGTAAAAAATAACGACATTTGTCCGACGTTAAAATACCATCGCTAAAGTAATTTATTTACTGGCTGACTGAAATGCTTGTTTCTTGTCTGGTGAGCTAATAGAACTGATGTTAGGAGACACTTGTCAACTGTTATTATTATAAGTTCTTTGTTTGGTGAACTAACAATAGTGTAAAGCTACCCTGACTACCATAAAGTCAGTACAAGACGGACAGATACCAGGTGTGGAGAACAATCTGTTAACAATAGTGTAAAGCCAACAAATGTTCTATGTGGGCCAGCAGTAGGTTTACAGACGTACAACGCTAAACAGGTTTAGCTAACAACAGTAACTTGTACGTCTGTAAACCTACTGCTGGCCCACATAGAACATTTGTTGTTACTGTTGTTAGCTAAACCTGCTTAGCGTTGTACGTCTGTAAACCTACTGCTGGCCCACATAGAACATTTGTTGTTACTGTTGTTAGCTAAACCTGCTTAGCGTTGTACGTCTGTAAACCTACTGCTGGCCCACATAGAACATTTGTTGTTACTGTTGTTAGCTAAACCTGCTTAGCGTTGAACGTCTGTAAACCTACTGCTGGCCCACAGGGGGACTTCAATAAGCAAACAAGTCATGACTGGTATCGAAATTCATCTCGACTTAGCAGTCCCCCCCCCCTCCCAATGGGACAGCGGTAAAACCCTAAAATCTGGGGTTACCGGGAGATAGCCTAATGTAGCTTTGCTACTTAAAAAAAAAAACAAGTCTTGACAGGTATTAGGACAGACAGTTTAAAGATTTATCTTGAAATAATAGCATTTGTAGAACCAAATTTATTTGTGCTTCGACACGTTCTAAGTGAAGCATTTTCTAAAGTGTAATAACGTTTTGTTTATTTAAATGTTTCGAACATTAGCCGCTAGTTCAGAGCATATTGATTACTCTGTTATTTTGTTGTTTACAGTATATAGAAGTAGACTGACCTGGGTTCAAACCCAAGGTATGGTTGTCTCAATCAAATGAAGCACTTCGAACATTGACTTTCTGAACTCGCCACGCGACCATTTAGTTTCATATTTAAACGAATAAACAGAACAGATCACGTGGCTGTTTAAATAAACACAGATGTTCACTATTTTCCGATCATTATCAAAGCTTTAGCATTACCGACACGTGGATGGGTCAGTTTGTTAAGGGGCCGACTCGAGGGAGGGCAGCAATGCTTACTTTATCTGGTCCGAGTCGTCAGTACCAAGGTGAAGAAAGTCGCGATAGGTTTAAGGTTAGGCCTAATCTCCAATCCTTTCTCAGTCACCATGTTATTCAATACGAGCAGCGAATAACTGGTACAGAACAGATAATGATAATAAAAAAAATATGGAAACGCATCGTGAAAATGAGCTTCATTCTCTCTTAGCTAAACAAACATTAAGGCCAGACAGACAGACAGATGTCATAATATTCGAAGGAGCCACGTGCAACAGAAGACGAATTGGATTAATTAACATACCCCATTGAACAATAGAAATAAAAACACGTAGGGATATTAAAACAAAAACTAGCTTGTAAAGATCAGAGCATTATTAAACCATCACATCTTGAGCGTACTGTATATTGTATTGTTTGTTTTCTTACAATAAAAAATTACCGAGAACTACAGAAGTGAGCTTTAAACACTACTGCTGTAGCGTTTCGTTAAAATAACATGTAAATAGACCATTCGGAACAGCTTACGCTTTCAGTCGAACGAATGATCGTGTTGATAAGTTATGGCGTAGGGAGATTTGTTGGCTGTCCTACAGAAATTAGTCCTACTGTCACCTTTTGACGAGTTCTATACATACTTTTTAAGCCTAAAAACTGATTTGTCGAGCTTCGGGGTAAGAAACTGAAACAGGATAGAGATTGAAGTTCTAATTTAAATGACCATTTGTTGTAATCTTTCTTCATTCGAAGCATCTATCGCAACAAAAAAGATTGTTGTTTCCAAATTTTTAAAAACGTTTTTAATTACGATGTGAGAAACACAACGTTCAGCGGTCTACGGTCTACTGACGATCTGAAAACCGAGAAATGATGGAAGACCGACATACCTGTTTCACTTTCACATTCAGCACACATTCATTTTTAGGGCAGGATATTTTAGTGGGAAGAAGTTTAGGACACACTAAATCTTTATTATGCACCACAACAACTTGCATTGTTGTTGAAGAAGAGAAATTAACACCGAAATTCTTCATATTCAGCCCTGCTTGTCAAAAGGCCCAATCTATTAGATCGTCTGAAGAGGAAGTCGAGAGTGTGCACGCGAAAAGCTGGTTGGTCGAGAGTGTGTGTGTACGTGACCGTTATGTATAATCGTTACTGGCTGAACCACCTCGCTGGTCTCTTATCAGCTCGACTTCACATTGTCAGTAGAACGATGGATATTTCATTCGACAATAACAATGGCTTTATTACTGCATTAGGCAGTGTCTAGCAAGGTACTAACTCCCACTTTTGATCTTAAATAATCTCCCCCTACTCCAGAAACTTTGGTAATACATACGGGAACGTAAAGAGTAAACCCACAAATTATCACGTGATCATTGTGTTGCAACGACACTAAGACTGGATGGAGGAAACACAAAATTATCAGCCTAGAAATATTTAATCGAAATGGAGAGATAAAGATGGTATGTTTGTTTTGTTTTAACGTAAAGTCACATTGGGCTATCCACTGCGGGAAATCGAACCTCGAATTTTAGCGTTCTAAGTCCGTAAACTTACCGCTAGGGGACGATAAAAACAAACAGATATTTCTATTTTATCATTCAGGTGATGTAATTATTAACGTGTTTTAGGTTCATGTTTGAAACTTTTCAAAGTCTATACTGAAGTTTTTATAAAGGTTTAACAGGTGATGTAATTATTAACTTGTCTTAGGTTCATGTTTGAAACTTTTCGAAGTCTATACTGAAGTTTTTATAAAGGTTTAACAGGGGATGTAATTATTAACTTGTCTTAGGTTCATGTTTGAAACTTTTCGAAGTCTATACTGAAGTTTTTATAAAGGTTTAACAGGTGATGTAATTATTAACGTGTTTTAGGTTCATGTTTGAAACTTTTCGAAGTCTATACTGAAGCTTTTATAAAGGTTTAACAGGTGATGTAATTATTAACGTGTTTTAGGTTCATGTTTGAAACTTTTCGAAGTCTATACTGAAGTGTTTATAAAGGTTTAGCAGGTGATGTAATTATTAACGTGTTTTTGGTTCATGTTTGAAACTTTTCGAAGTCTATACTGAAGTTTTTTTAGAGGATTAACAGGTGATGTAATTATTAACTTGTCTTACGTTCATGTTTGAAACTTTTAAGAACATTTTACAAGATA